TTTGATTGGACGATGAATGTTAGCTGTATTGTGTTTGTTTGTTTTATACCTCATATCTGTATTTATTACTGCGACTTTCTTTGGCATATTTTTCTCAACTGAAAACATAGTAGATTACTAGAATATGGGCGACAGACAGCCTTGCTCTGGTTAAATCGCGTATTTCAGAGATGCCGACCTCATTTGAATGCAAGTACCATATACGTAGTGATGTTTTACCTGAAAATAAACTGTCACGTTTATCGTTACCGAAACAAAGTCATGTAAAAAGAGAAGTCCGTTAAGTTTCAGACTGCAAATAGTAACACAACACACGAGACCCTGTGGCATGCACGTAACCCGTGACGTCACGACACTGCGCCCAATTTGAATAAAGCAGCAGTATTGGCAACATGGTGTATTTTACTGTTGATACGAGTCAACATATTGATATTTGTAGCCTACAGTTTCACGTAATTATACACACCCGGTATATATGCGATTAATGCTCGACAGTCCAGGTCAACACTGATAACCAGGTCGATAATGACTGAGAGTCGAGAGATCCCAGGTTGTGTCCATGTGTGTTGATTGTCATTCCGAAAAAAATGAATTGTGGGGCCGACACTATGTTGGAGGAAAACATATTTGACGAAGATTTTAGATATGAAATTTATGATAATGTAAATTACCCATCGACGATTAGACACACCTGGAGTGTAATGTTTGTTTTTATTGATGCTATGGCAACGATAGTCATTGTGGGCACTATGATGTTATAGTTCATACATTTACAGCGAGACTGCAAGGCGTGACATTGCGATACGATACGTTCTATGCAGTTTATAAATTTTCGAATTCGAGAGGTTGATTCTATTGCAGGTAATTCCGTTGACGAAGAGTGTAGATATGAGCTATGGAAGCAGGAATGCCCGGATGAAAGAAATCGAAGCCATCTACTTGGCGCCAATGAAGTCCCACTACCTGCGGGAATTGAGTACGGTCTCTCGTAAAAGTACTGGAAGGAAGAAACGTGTACCTAGAAAACGGGGAGGGATAAAACATGAAGAACTGTCTTCCATCGATCGGGTTCGACATGTTCAACAGACTTCCTCGTCGGATAGCGCTCTGGGAATGTGGCAGTGTCGCGATGGTGACGGTGGGACCAAGAGTAGGATTGATGCACACATAGGCGAGAATCCAAATCGCAACAAAACAGCACTAGGACTGAAAGAATGTAGTGGTTTGTCATCCGGAACCGAAACTGGGTACGAAACCGTGGATATTGATACCAAGAGTGAGAGCAGAAATGGCGGTGAATTTGATATTCCGATTTATACAAGTAACCAGGCTGGTATAAGAAGTGTAACGCCGCCGCCGTCCAATAGCGGAGACTATTCTTATACAACAACTTTCAATAACAAAATCAGTTTGGAAGAGTATTTGGGTCTGAGGAAAGGCGAATCCAGTGGGAATAACAGTAATTTGTCGATTTCACGCCCGATCAGGGGTGCAGCAGAAACAGATAGTGGATCCGGTGCGTTGAATGTGACATGGGAGTCCACCGATGATGTAACTTATGATGACGACACCAGTTTCTGTGTCTCTTATTCCGATCAGGAGGATCGGGATACGTGCGAATCAATTGTTGGCGAATCACGGTCTGTGTTAGATAAGACTGGTGTATATGCAATGAGGGAAACTCTGTGATAAGAGTTACGATTGCCACCAGAACCAACTCTGGACAGAAAGCGACGCAAATATATGACGACCACAGTGTGGACGAAGCGAGGTTATATCCGTGCTCCTCACCGGAGTATGCGCAAAGTCCGGTCCGTTTTGGTAGTTTGGCATCTCAGACATATATCGGAGATATTGAACGCAGCGATGTCAGATCAGAGGCTGGAGCCATTAATGTGCGTTTAATTCACGTAAGAGGTCGTGATGCGAGAGGTGATGAGACCGATGATAAGCGCCCGTCCGACGACGTTGCAATCTTTCCCGAGGATAACTTTCTGACGGCGAGTACGTCAGAAAAGAAGAGGCAAACTGCAGCACCAGAGGGCGATAGACGAAAAGACGGGAACGAAAACGAATCTCACTGGGAAAGCAGTAGTACAACATGGGCCGAGAGCAGAAACACTTTTAAAAGAATGGAACCATTGGATGATGACAGTAAAAGACTGTTGCGAACTCGAACACAACATACCGACGACAAGCAGTGTAGTACGTCATCGCGAGCGAAGGTGACCTCATTCGATCCTATGTTAGAAACTTTCGAACCAGAAACTCGAGGTTGCGCGGGATTGGTACAATCTCGTTTAGTGAAGGCGTGTTTGTTTTTTCTTGTGATGATTGCAACGCCATTGGACCTCATCTGCGCATGGCTAAACTATCATATATTTGGCGTCGCCGAATTTGCGCTGTTCGTCTCCAAAGACCCATCGGTGGAAGTGAAATTACTCGCATTGTGCGTCTTTGCAACCATTGTTTACCTCATGTCAATTTTCCTTCTTGCGCAAGAATACCAAAAAAGTATTGGTTGTTGTTTTATCCCGCCTTCAGCTCCGCGTATCACGCCACAGGTAGAACAGGAACGAATTCTGCAGACAGCACTAGAGGTCATTTCACGATGCGGCTTGAAAAAGAACCAAAAGTCTTTTTTGAGTATGGAGCTTTTAGAGCATGGTTTCCATAGCAAAAATCGGACAGTACAGCGCGCAATAAAAACAGCTACACAAGTCCACCAGAATCAAGAATCGCGACACCGTCTGGCGGTTGATTACAGCTTCAGACAGTTTTTCATCACTGTTCTTATTGGCCTTGACTTTCTCACCCTCGTGTTTTTGGATCTGCCAATCACCGTAATTTACGTGCACGACGTCATGCCGTGCGTAGCAGCCTGGAACAATAATTTACAGAACGCAGCACTGGTGGCGCTGTCATTTAGCGTCTTCTTAAAACTTTGCAAACTATTTATCTGGTCTTATGCTTCTTGTTGCGTGTGTCGAAAGTCGCAGAACGGTCTGCTGGCATGTGCACTGTCGCTTTTCTTTCTTTTATTCTGGGTGTTCATTGCAGTGACGCTTGGATATATGGTCAATTTATCGTCCAGTGTATTCACGTCTTCCAATCGGTGCGTAGATGGATCCCACAACGACTGCATGCTACGGGTGCATTTAACGAGGGATTCTGCGCGCACTGAGTCATCAAGAACGACAAATCTGTTCAACTTACTGAAATTCCAAAGTGAAACGAGTGCACGTATCAGCACCCCATGTCAGTTTCTGAGTCCGATCATGCACCCAGACCGTTACCAAAACACATGCGTACCTGAGACGTGCGACGTCATATTTGTCTTGTCGTATGACAAATATCGAGCAAGTCCCATTAGCTATGCACTAGAAGGACTCGATATTTGGAAATGTTATGGTAAAGATGTCACTCACAACTCTTCCACTATTGTATATGATGAGGAAAATATCCTCCGTGTGGATTACTCCGCTGGGTCGTGGGAAGGATGCGCGCACCCATTAAAAGCTACCTGAATGCTTGCGTTCGCGCGCCATCCCTCCTCACTTATGAATATTCTTTTGTTTTCAGGACAGCTGTTCAGCTGTTTTGTGCGAAAACGGAGGCAGTAGAGAATATGAATTATTCTGATACCAGGGCGGATTCATGATGGAATTAAAATCGGCAGTGTGTGATTAAACACTACACTGATGTTACTTT